TTTTTAGTACTAAACATTACTCAGTTTCTTAATTTTAAAAGTAAATATTAAAAAACACAGATAAAAATCAATTTTTGTGTATAATGTGACTGTATTTTACAAAATACTAGTCTAGTGAAACACAGCCAAGACAAGTTACTTTGTACTGACTAAAGATCAGTTTTATGATATTGGCTAGGGTAACATAAGTGCACTTCTGTATTGTTAACTAGGCATGGCTGAAAGGTCAATATAATAAAAATAATAAATATATATAAATATATAATGTTATGAGATTTAATCTAAACATTTATGTTTTCGTGTTATAATTTGTGTTCATTCTAGAATGAAAGAGGCATAATTTATATTTATTAATTTTTTATGGTGGTTATGAGATTGGCCAAATCTACCAAACCTGTACAGAGATTCATTACCGAAAATAATAGATAAAATATAAAGTTTTTTCTTAAGAAATGTTTGATAACTATCTGGGCATTATAAATATTTCAAATGTAAAATTTCAAAATTTAATCTTAAAATGAAAATTACTTTGCATGAGAAAAACATTGCTTTACAAACTTTAAGACTTAATAAAAAATTTGATATTTTGTGTATGAAAGCATTGTAATGTTTACTGACAATGTGCCAAATTTTGTTAACATTTGCTTACCAATTTAAAAGTTATAGCATAAAAACTAAAACTGAGCCTTTGCTGAGAGAGTTAATTAAGGGCAATTATTTTAAATAAACTTGAAAATACACTTATAAGAAGATGAGTATGATGAGTGTTAGCCACTCATTGAAATATATATACAAATATGCTGTTTCAGACATGGTGTTTAGATTATTTAACTAAAAACTTAAGTTTAGATATGATGGTAATTACACCATGATGCTGAACTTCTGTCTGTTTGGGATAACAGGACAGGAAAGACTTATAAACCGAGGTGCTGAAGACTGGGCAACTCCTCTTATGATAGCTGCTCAGCAAGGTTTCACTGACTGTGTGGAGCTGCTTCAGAGTTATGGAGCAAATCCTAATCTTCGCACTGTGGATAATGTTACAGCCTTGCATCTAGCTGTTCAGGGTAATCATGTTGAGTACGTACAAGGTTGAGATATATTCCTGTAGTGAATTGCTTAGACAATAATTCAAATGTTTTTAAGTTTTTAAAGGTGTATTGATTTTTTGAAAGCAACTTAGTTTTCTTTTATTGCTAATACACTTGTAAATTTGTAAGTGTATTGTACATGATTATTTTAGAATCTGTCTGAATAATTGCAAGTTGCAGTTCCTGAGATCTCCAGTAAAATTTGCAGGGTGATCAGACATACATAATTCTAAAAGCAGGGTTTGCACTAGGGCTTGAAAACCTTGAAAAGCACTTGAAAATAAAAATCCATTTCAAGGGCCATTAAAAGTCTTGGTTAGGTCTTGAAAATACAATACTTTGAAGGCAAATGCTTGAAATTTGTATTCCATTAAAATTTCTGGTTTTAATCTTTATTATAGATTTATCTAAAAAATCTATTTAAGCAATCTAGTAATATTTTGAGTGAAAATAAACCACAGGACCAACATTAGGTCTGCTTGTAATCTAGTCTGTGTATTCTGGTTTAATGTACTGTTCTGCATTTTAGCCTGAGTAGTTATGGGCATGGTGCTAAACAACAATGGCGGATAAGCATCCAGCATGTAAGCTCGTCTGAAGTTGAAGATGCAAAAATGCATTTTCAGCAATGCTTGGATAGTAAACGGACCCTACTGTTAGTAGTGTGAGAGCTATGGACCCAACAAACAAGGCCTTTTGTTAGGTATGTAGGAAAGTGATTGACATTGGGAGATGGGCAAAAGTGTCCTCAAATGTCATGAGAAAGGTGCAAAACGTTGCAAAATTTTAGTGATAATGACCAAATCTAAAGATTTAATGATGCAATACTTTTTCAAAGGAACAGATCAATTGTGAATTGTAGGACAGGGTTGGAGTCCTTTACGAGAACTTACATCATTGGATCTAGGCCAAGAATCCTGCCAATCAAGGCCTAACAATGTTAACATTAGACATGACTTTCCAATCTTTAAATCTAGTCAATGTGGTTGAAACTGTATTGTATCAGAGAAAGTGGTAGATGAAATATTTGGACTTTTCATAGTGCCAATAGATATTTTTCATATAAGGCAAGAAGAAAGCAACAACAGTTCTTGCAGCTTTGTTTCATGATACTATTGATAGTGCAATAGCTCAAAAGTACAATTGTGCTGAAACAGAATTGAGATACATGACAACCTATGGTTTGGCATCTCATTTTCTTTCACTGCTTAAGGAGCAGGTAAAAAATAAAGATTGTATGTTACTTTATGATGAGAGCTTAAATAAGAAGAACCAGTTTAACCAAGTGGATATTCACTTACGGTTTTGGAATGAATCATAAAACTGTGTGTACAAGATATTTTACCAGTGATTTTTTGGTCATTCACCATCAACAGATATCTTGGATTCTTTGATAAAAAATATTGAAACACATTTGGGGATATCATTCACTTATCAATGGATGGTCCAAGTGTCAGTTGGAAACATTACAACATCGTACAACAAAAAATGCAGAGAGATTACAAGTGCAAATTGATTGAAACAGGTAAGGGTGTTTCAGTAGGCCTAATAATAAATAATAAATAAATAGATAATTTTCCGTTTACTCTATATAGGTCTTAAGATTTAATGGTAACCATATTTTTCATAGAAATGAATAAAAAACCCTATAACCCGAGCGCTTTCAAAAGGTGGACCTTTCTTCTTCAGGGGTAAACTGAAGA